TAAAGGTGAATTCAAACAAAGACAGAAAAGCACTCAGCTCAAACTCCTTGAAAAGACTAATGATACTTTCACAATGCAAATGTTTGTTTTTTTTTTTTATGGGATTTCTGGTGCCTAGAGGAGGCACTGAAGAGCTAGTTTATTTTTTTTTTCCATTTATTTTTATTAGTTGGAGGCTAATTACTTTACAACACACAATGCAAATGTTAAGACTGCATTTTAAGGGCCTCACTTGGAGACTGTTTCCATTTGCCAAAAAAAAGAAGCATGCAAGAAAAAGAAAACAACCCCCCAAACTGACCATTAGCTACTCTGAGTAGTTGCAAATTGTGCTGGCTGTGTTCAGAAAAGTTGGCAGATTTCAGCTGATGGATTCCAGTCTAGCAGTCAAGATGATCAACTAAATAAACCATTTATCAAATGTTAGGGACCTTTATCTGATTTTATTTTGTAGTGCAGCCAGACATAGCTTAAAAACATAGACAGATCTGTCAGAATGAGGGGCTGAGTATGGTTATAGAAAAGAATAAAACAGTGCCCCCAATGAACCCAATTTCATTTTGTTGGATATATGGTCCTTATTTTCTCCAAACATTTAAGCAAGAGACCCAGATCCTCATGACCATCCTATCTACCAAGGCATTCTTGGAGCCTATTGCAGTTCCTCACACAGGGTAGGTATCAGGCGAATAAACTAGATTACTGGATGATTACACAAGGGCAAGAGTAAGCTCTCAACTAAAATAAAATCATTTCTTCTGTTTATATATATACCCCTGCGGGATATGGATCTTGCAATTCTGAGGTAATCTGTTAGCTATTTATTCATAAATACAAACTAAAGGAACATAACAAGTCCTTCTATTTATTCCTCTTTATCCATCTCTCTTATCTATTCATCCATCCATTCCTTTATCCATCTATCCCTCCATACATCCCTTTATCCATCCATCTCTCCGTCCACCCCTTTATCCATCTGTCCCCCCATCTCCCATATATTTATTAATTGCTCCACCCTTCCATCCACCTCTTTATCATCCATCCAACAAATCTTTACTGAGTGTCTTATTTACCAGGCATCACATATGTTTGGCAATGGGAATTCAGAGATGGGACAAAGATCCAAGATCTCTTTCTTTAGGAAGTGTATGTTCTGGATATGGTTTCAGAAAAAGTAAACAGAAGAGCTTGTAATGGAAAATACACTATGTTTTCAAGTCAGACTTGATGTCTATTAACATCGAGCTTACAGTAAGGCAATGAAAATACATGGTCACTGCAGCTGCTCTCATAACTCAGCTGTGAATCTAAAGAAGTGCAATAACCCAGCCGAGCATCAGCAAAAGTGAAGAGGCATGACTTGCGGAATGAAGTGAACATGCTCTGCACAATCTAGGGAGACTCTGTGATGTGTGAGTGGAAAAAGACCTTGGGGTCCTGCTGGGGTCCTCTTTGAGAATGTGCTAGATGGAAAATTGAAATGAAAATTTTACATCATATCAACTAAGCTCGGGTCAACCCTCAGACTTCTGGAACCTCCCCACAAGGCAAGGATCAGACAGGAGCAAACCACTTGTGAAATCTCAGGGGCCCCAGCTCCAGGAGTCTCCATCCCATTTGTTTATACTCACAATGTTCAGTGCTCAAACACGCCATTTGAGATACTGTGAAGGAATACATGGTAGCCACATGTAATAACAGTTACAGTCATATCAAAGTTTGTAGGGGTGACATGAAATATTTTCTTAAAAATAAATGGTGTTCTGATCAGTTTTAAGCGTTCTGCCCAGATTGTCCAGAAGTAGAGTTTTTTTTTTTTTTGTACTCATTATGCAGAAGTTTATTTATTTATTTATTTATTTTTGTCTTTTTTCTCTGTTCTTTTTTTTTTTTAATTAATTTATTTTTTTTTATCACAACCATAGTGTATCTTTTTTTTTTACATGTATTCCCCATCCCGGTCCCCCCTCCCACCTCCCTCTCCACCCAATCCCTCTGGGTCTTCCCAGTGCACCAGGCCCGAGCACTTGTCTCATGCACCCAACCTGGGCTGGTGAACTGTTTCACCCTAGATAATATACGTGTTTCAATGCTGTTCTCTTGAAACATCCCACCCTCGCCTTCTCCCAGAGTCCACAAGTCTGTTCTATACATAGGAGTCTCTTTTTCTGTTTTGCACATAGGGTTATCGTTACCATCTTTCTAAATTCCATATATATGTGTTAGTATACTGTAATGGTCTTTATCTTTCTGGCTTACTTCGCTCTGTATAATGGGCTCCAGTTTCATCCCAGAAGTAGAGTTTTGAAACCACACCTAAGACAGGATGCCTTCTCAGAAGGTCTCCAGAAATAACAAACAATTCCATAATCCTGCTATGGGAACTTATATACACATGAATCTTAGGAAGAGCCTAGTGAGAAGAAAACACCGCAAACTGGAAAACACCGATGGGAAGTCTGACGCGTGAGCTCTGTCCCTTTAAAGATAAATAACTTAAAGGCACGTTTCACCCTTTCAGCAGACTTGTGCGGGAGAAGCTTAGCACAGCACTAGGAAACAGTCGAGGCATGCCTGAATTCAGGGACATTTCTTTCCTTCAGATTGTACCCATGTTGCCTGGGTCAGCACTGCTCTTGAAACCCTCATAGAAAAGTGACACTTTTCATTCATTTTCATTGATTTTCCAATTTCAGTTAAATTGTGTTGATCTTTTCTTCGTTTTTGGAGCTGTTTATGTATTGTGGCTAGAATGGCCATAATTATATACTTGCAATTTAACAAAAACCCAAATGACAAGGTCATGAACTTGAGACAATTTGTACCCCAAATAAACCTTAAAAATTCTGCTTTATAAATAGAGACAGAACATTTTCTATCAGTAAAAGAGAAGCTGAGATAGAGAAATCACCATTTCATCTTTCTCTTGCAAGAAGAATTTGCAAGTGATTTTGGGAGAATTAGGGGTTATGGGAAAGCTGGTGTGTGTGTGTGTGTGTGTGTGCATGTGCACTCTTGCACACACATGCTAGATGGGGAATAAAGGGAGAATTGGAAAGTCATTACCTACCTCTGAAGAAGATAATACGTCAGTCAGGCAATAACAAAAATAAGGAGGTTTGGAAAAAGAACGGGAGACAAAATGGAGGAAATGGACTTGAAATGTTCTTTTTTCTGCTTTCTATTTTTGATGAAAAACCATTGCATGTTCCAAGTGACAATCACATTTTCAATGCAAATTTCATTCTCTCCCCCCCCTTCCAATAATTCCCCATTTCCAGCTCCAGTTTCCCACCCTTCACATGTAAGATCTTACTGTCATCTCCAACTCATTCTTCCTAATATGTCAGAAAACATGCTTAGGAGTTTTGAGAGCATTGAAACTGCGGTAGGCAGTGGTCAAACAAACATGCAGGTGATCAAAGAATCTCAGTTCTCAAGACATTTACTGTCTAGGCAGGTGGTGCCCACTAGAACTTTCTGCGATGGTGGGAACAGTCTACCTGTGCCCTGGTCAGTACAGTAGCCACTAGCCACAAGGGGCTCCTGAGCAGTTGAGATGCGTCTGGTCTGATGGAGAAATTGATTTTTGCATTTTAATTTCAAGATTGTCAATTAAAATTTAAATAACCATCTGTGACTAGCTGTTACTGCATCAAGTCTAGACCAAGTGGAAGGGGACATTCGTTAGAGAGAAACAGGAGTATAAAGGGGTGCATGGCGGGTGCCAGGTGAGGCTGCGGGTAAGAGCAGTCAGACTGGAGGGGCAAGAGGCTGTGAAAGACCCGGGGCGGAGCCCGGCTTCCCTGCGAGGTGGGCGGGTCTCACCTAGACTCTCAGGAGGAGCTACAGTGAAAAAAACAGAAAGGAGATGAGAAGGCATTTTTAAATCACAAACATGGAAGGGAAAATGCACAGGACCCTGTAGGGAAACCCAACGCTCGTCCTGGGGCAGATGGGCTTGCAGAAGTCAAGGGTGACTGCCAGGGGACAGGCCATGGGATGATGTCCTGCTGGGAACAAGGGATCCCAGGATGGGGGCGGATCTGGGTGGTTGATGATGCAGAGCACCCCCAAGTGGGTTGGCATCTTCCTGTGTGAAGGGCCAAGAGGCTCTCTTATGGAAGGGAGCCTGGCCTGCGGGGGGCTACAGGGTGGTCCTGGAACTCCGAGAAAGGCCAGGACCAGGGGGCATGTGCAGCGGGACGTAAGTGGGCCAGGAACAACACCCTCCTGAATGGGCAGCTGCCATCAGCTCCCTCACAGTCCCGAGTGGTCTGACTGATCATCCATGTATGGAAACTGGGCCCCCAATTCCCAGAATTTCTGATTTTCAGAAAGGCTGGAAATCGGAATTAAAAAAAAAAAAAAGAAATATAAAGTTGAAGTATTTTGATATGGTGACTAATATGAAACTTTAACCTGGGCCAAACCAAAGAGCTGGTGTGTGGGCTGACTCAGCCCGTGGGGTACCTGTCTGTGACACGTGACCTGGAAGATGGGGAGATTCCCTCAGGGATGGCCTCGCAGGACAAGAGCTGAGCCTGAAGGGAGAGACAGGCTCCAGGGCACACACTTCACAGGCAGCACAAGGTTTGAGAAAGGGGTAAGTTGAAGCCACCGGACTCTGTGACAAGGAGAGCATCAGTCATCTCAAACAGCCACCTCCCTCCCATCTACCCCTCACTCAGAGTGGAAAAGTGAGGCAGGCGGAGCCCACAGTCACAGGGGCCTCAAGAGTAAGTGGTGGGTGAGCAAAGAGCCATCAAGTTGAATGAATGCAAATGACCTCAAAGGATGTGATTTTTTCGGTGTGTGATTTTTGGGGTCACATAACATGTCATCTCCCTTGGCCGATTTTCCCCATCCAGCCATGGGTCGATATCTCATTGCCGCTCCCACGATATGGAAGGGGCCATGGATGGAAGCCCCACATCTTCCCTCATGTGAAAGCCACGTTTGATTCTCATGAAAAGGAAGTGGTGTGTCTTTCAGCTCACCTCCCGGTCCAGCAGCGCAGGTGACACAACGGTGACAATGTCTCCTTTCTCAGGATCGATGTAGAACATGTTGGGAGACGGCTTGTCAGGCGTCTGCTGACGGATATTGTACCGCAGGAGGGCATTATCCGTGGCTGGGTCGTCTGCGTCAAAGGCTGTTATCCGCATCACCGTGGTCCCTGAGGGGGCGAGACAGACAGCAGGTGATGGTCACTTGGGGGACAGTGATGGGCCAGCCCCTCCCCCTACCTGGGTAATGGCCGTAGAGTGATGTGTCAATCACTTTCCAGACTATAAAAAGCGAAGCCTTTCCCTGACTCCCTTAGGTTTTAGCTTCCCTTACCCCTCCCTCTCTCCTCCATCACGTTAAAAGACCTGAAAGATAGAAAAGAAGTGTTTTCTGTTCAGCAGATTGACAGCTTAATTTTTCCTTCTGCTGATATGCTGTTTATTTCCATGGATTTTCATCCCATTGTGGATGTGGCTCTGTGACAATGGCCTGCACTCTAAAAGCTCTTATCGAATGCCTACCACATGGGGGAGGGGACCCTGGGCTGGGTGCTGGGGAAATACAGGTGCAAAAACTCACATTCCTGGGGGTCTGGCAGGTCAGCGATAAGCAGCAGAGAGAGCATATGAAAATATTAACGCACTCGCAGTGCACTGAGAGAGGGCAACGTGAGTACGGAGGAGAACAGCCCCATCTAAGAGGGGCTCAGGTCCCTGGTGCAGGGCCCAAGGGTGACTAGGTGTAAGGGAGGGGAGGTGGAGGGTCTCAAAGGGAAAGGTATCCCAGTTACTTCTGGTAAAAGGGGACCAGGAGCAGACAAGACTTGAGCACGTCTGTGCATAGCCACGACTTAGCTGTTGGCAGGTGTTTTTGTGGGGATGCTCATGGAGAGTCTGGGAAAAGCTGGGAAACGACCTAAGCGCCCAGCAGCAGAGGGCTTGCCGACATGATGGCGCCCCACTATGAAACATCTGGCAGCGCTTAGGAACGGCTTGTAGAGCTAACGCGCTCTAAGATGAGGGGCTCTCCAAAACGGAACACATCAGGTTGCGGAATGCTGCCCACAGTACAGCACCATTTTGGTGAGCCTATTAACACACAGAAAATTCCACCAACTTTATGCATGTATTTTTTCAGGTACAGTTTATGTCCATAAATGGATAGAGGAAGGTCTATAAGGGTGAACTTCACACTGGTTTTGGTGGCTAAACTTGGGCAAGGGGAGAGGGTACTGGGAATAATGGTGATGAGGTGACAGGAGAAGATGCTAGCCCAGTCTCTAATGTTTTTATCATTTTTACAAGGGAGATGTGGTTTTGAGATTAAAATTTAATTTAAAGGGATCATGGTTATAAACACCAGCAGAAGCACAGACTAGAACAGAATCAGGCACATTTGCCTGCTGTCCTGACGACTGTGAGCCTGGGTGACCTGCTCAACCATAGATTTTCACTGTAGTTTACTCCCCTATGAATACAGGCCCCACATCCCGATTCTGAATCCTCTGGGCGCACAGCATGGGGCCAGCCTGGTATGAGACTGAAGCAGTAGAGCTATGGTTCCCAGCAGGAGTATCCAGGAAATATTCTAGCTTAATGGAAACACAGAGTCCCTCCAGCTCAGCTACTTTCCCTTTTATAACAGTGCTTCTTGAACAGTGAAAGCCAGTTTATTCTTTCCCATCATTGGAATCAGATTACTAACCATCAGGTGTGAATGATCAAGCAAAGCATCAGAGTATTCTAAGGTGGGGTCAGGTAGTTCCACAGTCTCAGCTGATTTCACCAACACTGCCTTAGGCCAGATGCCTCCAGACATGTCTGCTACTCTAAGTGTATCTTTGTCCTTTGCTTCTTTGTGAAATTGTTACCGGGCAGGCCTCAGGGTCCAGGGTAAGAATAGAAAGTTCTTGGCATGTGCAGCAGCCTGCTCCCTGGCCCCTTGCCTTTGGGAGATGGCAGCAAGCCATTTGGTTTTTGTGTTCTATTTCCCACTAAGACACTCTGTGGGATCAGGGTTCTGTCTCTGCCCAGTGGTCCAGGCAGCCACTGCCAATCTGTCAGCGTGAGTGTGAAGGGTACACTCAGTTGCCTTCATGGTCTAGGAAAACAGGCCTACTTGGGGGTCTCTGTCAGCAATCAGAGGCAGCTTCCAGGCCCACATCTTACTCTGGGTCCAGCTCTCTGTGCTCTGAGCGTAAGGAGAGTGGAGGCCACGAGAAACAGCCTCCAGTCACGTAGATGTGACCGCTGCCCTGGACCTCGTCAGCGTCTAATGAATGCTTGTCTGATGGAATCCGCGCCCTATTTAATTTGCCATTAATTGAAGTTAGAGATGAACAAGCAAAAGAAAGCATCTTTTCATAAAAAAATGAAGTCATCACAGTTTGCGACTGTCATGGCTTCATAAGAAGTGGGTGGGGGGGACACCTCTCAGGTTGATGAATTTTTAGTTTCTACCAGGCCATTCATTAGTCATGTCATTTTTCATTGTTAGTTTTTACAGATTTGATAACATTGTATATGATAGATGGGTTTATCTGACATGGGTTCTATGCCTGGGTCGGGAAGATGCCTTGAAGGAGGAAATAACAACCTGCTCCAGTATTCTTGCCAGGAGAATCCCATGGACAGAGGGGCCTGGTGGGCTACAGTCCAAAGGGTCACAAAGAGTTGGACATGACTGAGCATACACACACAGCATGGTATGATAAAAGCCTATTCTGGAATATTCCCAAGGACATATAGAAGACGCTTTTTGTTTTAATGGATTATTACAGGGGAAGTGACCTGATATTAAGCCCTGCCTTGGTCTTCACCCAGCATGAACACATGTCTGGATTTATTTCTGAGGCCCATCTCCGTGGAGCATGTGCACCACTTATGTCATCTGCATAGGTTTGCAGCACTGAAGGAAACAACCTTGACCTAGGTTCAAGTCATAGCTGCCTGTGTGAACTCAGGCAAGTCAGTCAGCCTTCCATGAGCCTCGGTTTCCTCAAGTGCCTGCTCCTAACATGAGGATATCAGTAACACTCCTCTCTTTGGTTCACTGTAAGGAGGGCAATACATGACACAACTCGGTGCCTGGTCGGTCAGTGTTCAGAGGGGCATGCCTTTATCATCGTCCTGCCCTGGGCTCTGAGCCCATCTCGGTGGTGCAGGCAGTGGCCTCAGATGGACAAAGGAGCTCAGAGTCGAGCTGCCCATAGACACTGGCCCTGGCATGGCAGGAGTCCCAGCGCCCATCTGCTCCGAGGCACCCTGCCTGGCCCTCCCCCTCCTGTAGCTCCCTGCAGCCCCTCTCCCCAGCCTGGCTTTTAAAAGTGCTTTGCTGAAACCCTTTGGGGAGTTCAGGGCTTTTTAGGGCATGAGCTCCAAACTCTGATGTTACCGTTTGTTTGGCCTCACTGTACGTCGGGCACATGAACGTGTACTAACACTGCCACCTCGTCCACTGTTTTAGCTTATGGATTTGGGTTTGTACTGTGGAGATCACAAATCTATATGAACACAAACACGTGCGTGTATACACACACAGACACACCTACACACACAACATTCGGCAGTCACCAACGCTTCTCCGTGTGGTACTCTAATCCTCCTCTAAGATCAGGGCTCTCTCCTGAGCCCTGCCTCGATGGGCCCATCATCCCCAGGGGTGGGATGGTGATTTTAGTACTTCCAGGTTCTGCAATGGCTGGAAAAGCCTCCTAAACCAGCATTTCCTAGATTGTTTCCAAGAGACCCTAGTTCTGTGGGCTCAGCAGAGAAGCTCCTTTGGGAAATACGCAGGAAGCACAGGTGAGCAGGTTTCCCCCCTGGAGGATTCCTAGCATCCTTAATAAGCAAATGCATATTGTGAATCTCCAAGAGAGAACAGAATTTGTAGCATTTCCCAAACTTCTCTGTTGATGGAAACTCTTCATTTTAAAAGTATCTTTATGTGATGGATCACATGGTCCTAAATTTAGCTTGAGGGGGACACAGACTGTGTTCTGTTCATATTTATAAGCTTGGTAGCTGACACTCAATAGGTCCTCCATCAATGTCCTCTGGGTAGAATTGCATTCTTACAAGTCACTGTAGCTTTGCCTTATTCCACAGTGACTGGAAGTCACGGATAACTTATTAGTGAGAAAAATGGACAGCACTGCCTGGACATTTTTCATAACCAGGCATGCTCCTCACTACCTCTGAGCTCGTTCCCCTCTAGAGGCCCTTACTGGACCTGGATTCCATAGACACACACCAGTTCCAGGCTCAGGGCTGACGACCAGCTGGTGGTTGCCAGGACAGTTGTCTCAGTGTCTCTGGATGACCCCAGTGCCTCAAGCTTGCCCAAGCCCCAGTCCTGGACTCAGAGAAGCTCTCATTCATCTCTACCATCCTGGCGGCTTCTCATCTGTGCTCATCTTGTGTCTGTGAGTGCTTCCCAATGGCAGAGATGCGATAATTATATGATAGACACACATACAGGTCCTCCACGTGGTACATTTCTGTCTTCTCCCCCATCACAATATTCTCCTGAGTGTCAAAATAAATGATAATCACTCCGTCACTCCCAGAGCCAGATGAACTAGCAGCGGTCCCTCCAAAGCAGAATAGAAGAATTTCAAGCTGTGCTGGCTGAAAGCCTCAAGTCGGGCCATCATTTCCTTTTGTCAAAGGACATGGCTGCCAATGCGACAGGCTGATAAACCATTAGGAGAGTTTTGTCTTGGCCAAAAATCCCCTTCTTCTTGGCTGTATTTCTCTGATTAAAGATATGTGCTGCCTGGTATCATGACCTTGAAGCTGGTATTTGAAGTTTTGCTTCCTTGTGATTTCAGGCACAGTCACACCCTTGAGAAGCAGAGTGTAGATCTGAGGGTAAGGGGCTGTTTTCAATCTCCAGGAAAGGTCAGCCAGCCTCAAGAGTGGGAGACTGAAAGACAGCTCGCTCTGTCTGTCTCACAGGTGACAACATCCTTCTGTTCTTGACATTTGCTTGCCTTCATCCCTGAACATTTCCTTCATATGATCAAAAGTGTCAGACTCTTTTTTTTTTAAAGAAAAAAAAAAACCAATATTCCTATAAGTGAATAATATATGGAGACATGGACAATCAGGTCTGTATTTGGCACAGGACTTCTGATAGCATAGTTGAAGTAACAGTGTGCTTTCCAGG